CGGCTACAGCTTTGGCACCCTGAATGGCGCCCTCACAAAACTTCCCTACATTGTCTCTCAACTGTTTGACTTCGCCCCCAATATGGGTGACGATCTCGTGCGCAAAGTCTCTAAACCCTCACCGCATGGCACTCAAGGCTACATCTTGGCTCCAACTTGCCTGGCGCTCGTCCATCCAGGCCTTGCTCAACACTTCTAGATAGCCCAGTACCTTGTCCCACTTGGCCTTATCATCCGGCTGGGCCAGCACCTCCGCTCTACACTCCTGCACCTTTGCCACTGCTGCGGTCATCTCATTCACTTCCTCTCTCCTCCTCTTCTTCTCCCTCTTCATTCTCAACTTCCATGCTAACTTTTGCTCGTCTTCCTTCTCTCTTCGTTCCATTGGGTCTGTCATGGATGCTAGCTCAGCGGCCAGCGCAGCCTTCTCATCCTTAGTCACATAGGACTCCGCCTCCTCGTCTTCCCCCAACGATAAATTAGCGACCCACTCGCTGATCTTCTTCTCCAGCTCAGTATCTGTCTCCCACTTTATCGTGCCACCACTGCTCCCTTCTCCACTCTCAATTCTCATTCTCTCTTTCTCTTCTTCTGCTGCCGCTTCTGCTTCAGCAGTCTTCCTTTTTTCTTCCTCCTCCTGTTGTACCCTCTTCATCTCCTCCTCCAACCTCTTCATCTTCGCCGCCTGCTCATCTGCGATAGCCTTTAGCTTCGCCTGCTTCTCGTGCTCTTTTCTCTCCTTGTTCTCTCTGACTAAGGCGGCCATCTTTTCTTGCTGCTCCTTGCTATAGGGGTTAGTCTCTAGCCCAGCACGGGTCTCCACCATGGTGATAGGTGCACAATCAGGATTATTCCACTCCTCACCACGTAGACTCTAACCCCTGACTGACAAACTTGTAGACTCAATCTAAGAACCCGCAGAATCTTGACAAGGACCCTGTCAACTATGGTCTCTAGCCTAGACCTATGCTATGGCTGTCACTACCGAACCAGTGGCTGATCAGGAGACATTTAAGGAGATCCCCCGTAACTCCTCAAAAATTCTTTAACGTCGCAGACAGGACGACATGATCAGCTTGGTTTTGCCTGTGCTTTCAGCCCACAACTCAGCCTTTCCAGCCTATTGTGCCACACCGAGCAGCCCGTCGGTCTGTACCGGTCCTTGGGAGGGTTTGACCTCCGGGACAGTCGAGTCGTCAGACACAGATCCTCAGCCTTACTTGGTCCGGTAGGGGAGTGATTCCAACAGACCCTTAACACTTAAAGACGGCCTCCGTTTCAGCCTGCAGCTCAGAGTTCGGACCCTCTACACTGAAACTGAGCAGACCTGCAGGACAGTACCGGTCATTGGGCTAGACGAGTTGTTTAACGAGCGCTCGCCGCTCATGCCCAGGTCTTTAGATACCAGAGTAGAGATTAGTCCTACTAAGTCCCGTGCAGGCTTGGCAGCGAGGCCCTATCCTTCATCCACATAGTTCTATGACCTAGGACAGAAGAGACTCAATGCAGAAAGAATAGACAGACAGACTGTACTCAGC